CACGCCGGAGAATCTGTATGAACTTTCTCGGCCAATGAAGGGATCGAACACCCGACCTCCAGGCTAGCGAGCCAGCGTCTTACCTACTTAGCTACCGTATTTGAAATAGTATTTGTAAACCATATATCTATTATTATTATATATATATTTGTGACTGTCGTCTGTCTGTCTGTCTGTCTGTTCGGGGTTGGCGGCTACACTAGGTCTGCCCCGAGTCTGAAATTTGGGGTATAGGGGTAGCTCGGACTGGGGAGTAACATAGGCCAGGTGGCGTTAGTCTACCACTTCCGGTTTCGGAGATATCACCCCCGAGCGAAGCCGGTCTGTTCGGGGTTGGCGGCTACACTAGGTCTGCCCCGAGTCTGAAATTTGGGGTATAGGGGTAGCTCGGACCGGGGAGTAACATAGGCCAGGTGGCGTTAGTCTACCACTTCCGGTTTCGGAGTTATGACCCCCGAGCGAAGTCTGTATGTTCGGGGTTGGCGGCTTAATCTGCCCCGAGTCTGAAATTTGGGGACCGGGGAGTAACATAGGCCAGGTGGCGTTAGTCTACCACTTCCGGTTTCGGAGTTATGACCCCCGAGCGAAGTCTGTCTGTTCGGGGTTGGCGGCTACACTAGGTCTGCCCCGAGTCTGAAATTTGGGGTATAGGGGTAGCTCGGACCGGGGAGTAATATAGGCCAGGTGGCGTTAGTCTACCACTTCCGGTTTCGGAGTTATGACCCCCGAGCGAAGCCGGTCTGTTCGGGGTTGGCGGCTACACTAGGTCGACCCCGAGTCTGAAATTTGGGGTATAGCGGTAGCTCGGACCGGGGAGTAACATAGGCCAGGTGGCGTTAGTCTACCACTTCCGGTTTCGGAGTTATGACCCCCGAGCGAAGCCGGGTATCCTGCTAGTTATTATATATATCACGTTCAATGTTGCACGTGCGCGCTGTATCATAAGGTATGTCATTGAGTCAACTGGTGTGGTTTCGATTCCCCGGTTGTACGTGACAAGGAGTGGGGTCGCCTGTCCAACCTAGTGGGTTTTCTCCGGGTCCCCCGTTTCCTCCCACTGCTAAACACCCCTACGCGCAAGCGAAGTATTGAAATGAAATTGAACCATGTTAATACCGAAATGACCTAGTTTGTGTCGAGTGGACGTTAAACCCCATCTCTCTCTCTCTCTCTCTCTCTCTCTCTCTCGGTCGATGTTGGTTTCAATTTTAACACTCCACCAAACCATTCAACCTGACGAAGAGCGAGTCGTTTGTATCAACAGAATGGACCCGATCAGGTGCCCAATCGCTAAATTGAGCACACGGTGGCGATACCAAACGACATCATAATGATGGTTGCTAGGTAGAACTATCATGCTTAACATGTTCCGCCTTAATAATAGAAATCAGATGAAACAGAATTAAAATTTACACTGAACAAATAAAGAAGTTGGATTATACATTGTCTTAAAGGGACTAGCCTGATTTCAAGAGAGTCTCAAAAATAAAAGTCGGAGTGTTTATGAAATTTAAGCGCCAAAATATTGAGTCGTTTGGACATGAACGTCAAAACTGCTTATCCGGACACGTAACCCTTTTAAGATTTCGGGTCAGTTTTTTCGTTGGGTGAACTGATAATCGATTCCCGTTCCTTGATAGGTCTATATAGTGAATGACCCATGTGCTCTACTTGATAACGAAAGGTAAATTTCACCTACACATTATTATCATAAAATAAAAGTCTGGTTTTATCCAGACACCGTATAATACAGCTTGGGACACTGATCTCCATTTCCAGATGAAGACTGACAGGTTTAAGGTGTTTGAAAACTTATCACATACATTGAGTTAGTTGCTCGGCCCTTAGCTAGAGGATTTTAAGTGATTTTAACACAAAATTAAGCAGTTTTATTCTCCAAAAAATATCGGGATTAGCCCTTTAAGTTAGAAATTACATGAATGGAAGTTAGAAATTACATGAATAGAAGTTAGAAATTAGACGATAGCATGTTAGAATTTTGAAACTAATATACCGCCATACTGTTCTGCTCCGAACTGGGCTAATGAAGACGGAGAGGGTGCTATGAAAGATGAGTGCTTATCATATAGCGATTTCTCTGGACGTCGACCGCATAAAACTCAAATTGTTTCGTTGTTCTCGTCGATATGGCTTGGCATATCCGAAATAAACATCGCATTTGAAATGATCATTTATTTCGTGTGGTTCGTCATCGGCGCCTTCATCATGGAACCGTTTCTAACAATGGCAATACATGGATCGACGAGTAGGCCCCATTGCTGACGCGTGTGCCGGCACAGAAAGATCGGCGAAAGGGACCCATGGTGATGAGTATAATGGCCCCACATAGATCGACGAGTGTGCCCCTACACCCACGCGTACTTTCACATTGATCAAGGGCCCTTCATAGATCGATGAGACATGAGTCCCTACGGCATACGAATGGGCCCAAGTACATTAAAGGGGATCCTCTGACTTTGATTAAGGCCCCTAAGAGTAGTGTGGGTTCAATTACTTCTACGTGGGGGCCTTCTGGCATTGACTAAAGGGTCCCTCATATACTCATCTGGGCCCCATCTCTACCCAAAACTCAGTGCCTTTGGTTTAGCACAGCATTTTCTATGTTGCCAGGGGCCCTACCAAGTCACGCCACTGCGGATAACCGACTAGTATCTTATGCTACTAAGTCGGATAGACCTAAAAAAAGAGCTAACGTATCAAGCATAATCACATATTTATATGGAATTACTTCTAATCACTTGGCGAGGTCAAGTGCTGACATAAAGAAGCATTGATGTAATAATTTACAATATAAGAAATAAAACAATAAATTAATAATACGAGGCAGGCCATATTGGCAGTTACTTTCTATCTAAAACAGTTTTACAAACAATTAGGGGATATAATAAATTAACATTTCATAAGCATTACGTTTTGTTTTGTTTAATGTTTTGAAGGAATATAATAGTTATTGTCCCGAAAGTTTAAATGAATTCAATTTGAAGGCTTTCACTTTTAAAATGAATAATGTATTATCTGAAATATTCTAGTTTTTAATGGTAACATATAACCACTATAAACTGTACGGTTATATACTCTCCTCGCTCGCTAATTTCTAATACGTCCTCATATTATATTGATCAACAAAATTAAAATTTTATAAACTGAAGTTTGGGAACATATTCTGGTACATCGTGAAGAAATGGGATAAAATCGTCGTAGAAATCTGGGTCTTCCTTGAATATTTTATTAATCCACTGCCACTGGTACATACTGGAGATACGAATCCAGAAAATACGTCTTTCTGATAGATACTCTGTATCTGTTTTTGGATCGCAATAACGACATAACGTGCGCACAATTTCCGTCGTTTTTCATCAGTGACATTCAGGATCACGGAGTCTGCTCCACGCCATTTGAACTTGTTTTTCTATTGTTCATGGAAATATTTCGCGAACTACATTTCTAAACACTTCGGGTACGGGTCCAGGAATTGTGTTTTCATGGATCTCAATATACGAAATATCTGTTTCATCCAAATTGCTTTCACCAACTCATTCCTTTTGTTTCACTTGGTATTCTAGCTTTCCCTTGTTTAATCGTTTCTACATAACCCTTTGGTACGCTGAGAATCTGCGTTTAATTTGCAGGTGTATATTCATTTTTCGTTTCTGAATTTAACAGTTCGACTGTCTGACGACTTTTAGTATATACTGTTGGAAAGGTTAAACGCTTTTGTCATGAGAGCAGATTTTGATGGGTTCACTATCTAAAGTTGATGGCTTGGTAACTGCCTTGGCAATCTGATTAAAACACAGATCCTATTTCGTTTCGTTTTTTATAGTTCAAAATTTCGTTTTACTTTTCTGTACTACACTAGGATCTGGAAGAGTTGTTATATAACCCGCGTTCTGGTTAATGTGATGGATTAGACAATGAAACTGGCGGATTTTGTCACTACGTTTTGCAGGCAAGTACTCTTTTCTCCAGGTTATTGCGGCCCCTGGACCCACGCCTATAAGGACCTAGGATGGAAGCCCCCCCCCCCCCCCCAATCAAGAATTGCTTCCGCCGGCCCTGTTTTGACCAGAGACATTTCGGCAAGTCAAAATTATAGAAAGGCTGCTACCTCCATTTTCGATTTTCCATTGATGTGCCTCTGTATTCAAATCCATAACTTTGATCATTTCATCTAATTTTCGGGGTATAACTTGTTCATCTTTTTTATTCTTGGGGTACTCGCTTTGGCTTGTAAGAGGCTGGCATCTTACCCCACAAGGCATCCGCACAAATTGCGACCGAGAAGTCCGTCGGATATTACAAGAGTCTGGAATGGTTCTTCAAATCTTTAATACTGGAAACTTGTAATAATAATTACCTACATATACATAAAGGACCGCGGATAACCGATTAGTTGGATACATTTCTAGATTTTAATTATAACATATAACCATTATAACCTGTACGGTTATATATACCAAATATGTCATACTTTTATTGGAGATAACTACCATATAAATACTTTCGTGGAAATGTATCTTAAAAACCCCTTATAGGATAAATTATAATAAGAGTGAGGGGGGGGGGGAGAGAGATGGTGTTTATTTAACGTCCACTCGACACAACAAACAATGCCATTTCGGGACATGGTTCAATTTCATCTCAATTATGAGGGATCTTTAGCTGTCGGAGAAACCGGAAAAAACTCACGAAGTCGGACAGGCGACCCCACTCCTTGTTATGTACAAGCGGGAAATCGAAACCACGCCACAGTGACAGACCGTATGTCCTAACACGCAATGCATCCTAAGTTCTCTAAAACACACGCTGTCTTCACCAACGCTATTTCCGTGAAATTTTGATCATCGCTTTTAGATTATAATGTTCGGTCATCGTGTCGATTTTCATATGAATAAAATCTGAGAACCCCTCCTTTAGAAAATGGCGGTCTACCCTCCTTTATCATAAAAATTCAACAGCGTGCTGAAATAATCCTTTATTGACAAATCACAACCCTAAGTATTAATTATAACAGAATATATAAATACCATTAAATATGAATATATACAGGTATCACATAACGTTTGATAACGAGCCTTAAAAGTGCGTATACTATATATTATACATTTATTAAAAGTGAATATGAATACCACAAAGTAAAAACACAGTTATTTCGTTATAAAGGTGATGATGTTACTTTTAGTGTCCATGATTTTATTTGTGGGGTATCTAGCGTTATGCGAATCTAAAACAACACAGTATTAAATATAGGTGAAAAATTAATGGGCGTTTTCTATTAACATTTTACGCCCTTAGATAAGGGCTAATTTTTAGATATAATCGATTTTGTGTTCCTACGGTAAGCCAAAATGAAACCAAACCTTGTAAACAAACCAAATTTCAATTAATGTTTCCGAACAGAAGTTTAGTCATATAAATATAACACATCAGATTATCCCAATTCAACAATTTATTTTCACCTACATCAAATAGATGCAGTTCCCGATTTGCAACGACCTAGCCAAAAGAAGTTACAAGACATTTTGGTAACGAAAAATATATGCCCAACAGCAGCTCTGTCTCGAAAACATATAACCACAGACAGCAACCTATCCGAAAGGAAAACTTCCATGTTGACCAATTTAATAAGAAATTAAGATGCCTTCAAGAAATCTACTGATCTCTATCGTGTTCCCAAGATTTTCCGTACACATTAAAGTAGCTAAGTCTCTAACTCAATATCATCCAAAATCTTCGACATTGAAAACACGATTTATTTGTCGGTTTAAATCAACATTGATGTCGTGACCTTACCGGGAAAAGATGGGCTTCTGATATCCAATATTTAAGACAAAGTAACATTTTACAATTGGTACACGAATCGTGTACCATAATGCGTTTCGGCACTATTTGTAATAAAGGACTCGAAAAACGAGGCTAAGCATATTCCACAAGTCATGTCAAACGGTGACGCTATATTCTTGTCTGTTCGTTCGTTCGTTTCTGGGGTTTTACGTCCACTTCCACCTATGGTGATATCGTAGACAATTCTTGTCTGGAGAGCATGCCCAATAAATACTATCGGTGTAGACTGGAATAACCAGAAGCTAGGGATTAAAATTCGATTGAGAATACTGGCGTATGTCGCCGAACCTAATTGATTAGAAATTACAGTAAAAAAAAACGATTGAATGTAAATCAATTTATATACATTCATATTACATTATTGTATGCGTTGCGATCCATTTGTGTCAATTTCTAGGTCCCAAATATTAGCGACTTAGCTCCTTTAACTATGTCTCTGGAACAGAAAGTCGTAGAATACTGAAAATCAACAAGGTTCATAATCTCAGATCCTAATGCCTCACACCAGATTTGAAAATCAATGGGGTTATCTTCTCACAGCCTTACTGCTTAGCATCAAATTTGAAACAGATCTGTTACAAATTGTAACACGTTAACAATACAAGGGTTGATGAACAAATCGTTAAGGTATTACTCGAATGCTTCGCATTAAGAAAAATATCAGTTAAAAGCTATCGTGTCTATTACGTAAACAAAGCTTTCGGAAAGCGGGGCTCCGGAATTGAAGATCTTCTTATAACCGCAATGGTTCATACCAAATTTGAAAAAAAATGTTTGAATCTGTAGCGTTAATAAGCCAATTGTTGACGAACGGAGGGGCCGATCTACGTCCATGTGTGACGACATGCTGAAGCGTGGGCGTATTGCGTAAGGTGCAGAAAAAAAGTTAAATCAAGTGTGATTCCATTTTTAAATGCATATAATAAAATAATGTATCAAACATTTAGAAACAGATATAGATAAATATTATAAATTAATTCAATCAAAGAATAATTGACCAATAGCGTCATAATGCTGCAGTTTTGAGCTACATACAATAATTACCACAATAGGTACCAATAGATTCAGACGGGATGAAAATGACATACGGCTAATAAATTATACAATTTGTATATTTCGAAAACAAACTTATATGCAACAATTTAACAGAATACCGAAGATCGCCACTTCACAAAAAGTAAGTGGGCTATACGATTTATCAATTAGGGCAAAATGTAATCATCAGTCGATGTGATAATGAGTGCTGCGAAGAAACAGATTTACGCCTCCTTGCGTTATCATGATTTCATTTATTTCTCCCTGAAAAGTTGTTAATGTTGTGAATGTGGTGCATGTGATTTATTAAGTGGACTCTTAAAAAAAATTAATAATAGCATACGGCTAATTTTATGGATTGATCGCGTGTGCAATGTACGGAAGAGAATTTTTACCCAAAGAGCGGTATCTTTCTACATTTTTTCGAATTCGATTCGGGACTGACACCTTAATTGTCAATCATGTTGTTCGGATGAAAGGCGTTCGATTTACTTTTTCTATAAGTTACATGCGTTTGGTTAAACTAGACTACATGTATATAGTGTTAGTTATATTTAACATCCGAATTTGTTCGGTCAATCTGAAAAACAAAAGTTAAATGACACGTTTTTTTCCAAACTCAATGGACATAACCGGAAAACGATGAGCATTGTAATGTCAAAAAGCCTTATAAATTTACACAGAATTGTTCTGTGTAGTCATATTTATTCCACACTGTATCCAAAAATGGTGATAATGTCATGACATTTGATTTGGCGTCGAGTGCGCTGGCCTCTTTAAGAAGTCCATTATACGACGTTCGACGCGTGAGATATTTTCTGTGTCTGAATTAAAAAATCTATTATTTTGGTATAATCAATAAACCTTTACATAATAACGCTTGTCGGATGAGATCGTTTATCTTCTCGATCAGTTGTCCATCATAAATAAATTAGGACGTGGCACCACCATTGGAATTAACTGTAGAAGCAGTTTCTTTTAAACAAATCATATTATAACAGCCCCCGTTAAAATGACCTGTAAGCCTCAATGAAATGCAATTAAGCCTATCACGTCATTTGATTACTGGGCTAAGATGGTGTCTTTCAATGGCGTACTGGATCTGAATTCTGTCGCGTTTTCAAAGCATTCGTCTTGGCTATAGATTGTTGGTAACTGTAGAGTTGTTTCTCCAAGGCATAATTTTCCGCTTGTAAGGCCATTATTTCTCGCCTGAAAAGACATAAACGAAAATAATGAGAACAACGAAAAGGGTGGAAGGAATCACAACACTTCATATCGATTTTGTTTTCAACAACAAACACCATGTTTAAAATAAGAGCAATCAATTAAAGATGGCTCCCATCTCAAAGTTGTAAATGGAAATGCAGATGTATAATTCGCTGCATGAATAAACGGCCCCGAGAGGTTGATTAACGACGGTTATTAACAATAGCGATCATGTAACCAGAGTAATATATCTTGTTTCTTTAGAATCAACTAGCAAAGCCATAATTAAAATAAAACTCGATCTGAATTTTGAAACTTGATTTAACGGTGGTGTTTATAATATTTTCAAAACCGAGATAAATATTTCATTTAGCTTTGAGCATGCTCATGCATGGATATAATTGAGCAATTGGAGAGGGGATGAATCGCAAAAAGAGATTTTAAAAATCATTTCATGCTAGAGACACGCATCCACCGCAGTAAGATAGATCATAATGTACCGCATCTGGCTAGGGTGGATGTCTATCGTGAGTTACTTCCAATTTGCCAAATCTTCACGTAACATTTGTTGCCTTCTGCCTAAAATGATCTTGGGTTGCATATTTTCAACACTATAAATAGGTTTATGCTAAGCCGCCGGAGAGGAAATTGGGAGATCAAAAAAAAATCTTTTTTTAAAAGTAGCACAATAGGATAAGTGCAGTAATATCTTCTCAAATACGTAGAAATAACAAATTTTATTTCGTTCCAGTAAATCAGGTAGCACATTTCTTATTTTTTTTAATCAAAGCTTTCAATCTCGACCAAAATGACACATTTTTGGCATTTGGCACTTTATCATCCTCGGTGGCACTATATTTATATCCAGCCCATTTTTATACGCCCACATGGAAATGTGGACGATTATTGCCGTCGCCCCCATCCGTCCGTCCGTCCACAATTCTTGTGAACGCTCTAACTCCAAAAGTTTTAATCCGATTGTTTTGAAATTGATATATGTGGTTTACATTAGTGAGATGAAGAAACCTAATTTAATTTCAACAATTTCTGTTTATTACGTCTAGAGTTATTACCCTTGTTGAACCCTATGAACTCTATTACGCCAAAAGTTATCCACCGATCTTTGTGCAATTTATATGCATTATTTAAATTAGTGAAACGAAGAAGTCTATGGAATTTCAGCAATTTCCGTTTATTACGTTTAGAGTTATAGCCCTTGTTTCACTTTACTGAACCTTGTGAAGTTATCATCCGATCTTTGTGAAATTTATATATGCATTATTTAAATTATTGAACCAAAGAAGCCTATTGAATTTCAGCAATTTCCGTTTATTACGTCTAGAGTTATGGCCCTTGTTTCACTTTATTGAACCTTGTCATCCGATCTTTGTGAAATTTATATGCATGATTTAAATTAGTGAAACGAATAAGCCTATTGAATTTCTGTAATTTCGGTCAATTTGCTGCACCTTGGGAACGCTCTAACATTTATATGCGTCATTTATATGCATTATTTAAATTCGTGAAACCACGAAGCCTATTGAATTTCAGCAATTTAAAATAATTACTTCAAGAGTTATGGCCCTTGTTTCACTTTGTTCAACCTTGTTAGTGCTCGATTGATGAAAGTTATCATCCGATATGTATGAAATGTATACACATCATTTAAATTTGTTAAACAGAGGTCTATTTAATTTCAGCAATTTCCGCCAATTATTTCTAGAGTTATGGTCCTTTTTGAATGACAAAAGTGATTATCCGATCTGTATGAAATTATATGCATTATTATAGTAAAACGAAAAAGCCTGTCAAATTTCAACAATTTCTGTAAACTACTTCCAGACTTGAGGCCCTTGTTTCAGTTTGTAGAACGTTTTGAACCCTCAAACGACAAAATTATAATCTGATAATCTGATCTGTATGGAACAAAAGAATAAATATGCGACAACCCTTGTCGACCGCCCGGACGATTAAGCTGATGTGGGCGTATGTTTCGTTGCCTGGCAACCTATCTTATTTCACTGCTAGAATTGTGACATTCTAAGGAAAGGTTTAATTTTGAACCCTTTTTTTTAAATTCACGCTTGGCACCCACCCTAGTCATCAGATGCGGCACATCATGATCTACCTTATTGTGGTTCATGCATGTCTTTAACATGAAATTTCTTTTTTTTTAAAACCGTGTCAATGGTTCCTTTTGAGTTTCGCATCTCTAGTATATATAAATAGACTATTATTATTTAAATAGTAATACATTATGAGTTTGCAGTTAACTTTGAACAATGTCATAGAAAGGTGGAAGGTTTTTTTTCCAGATAAAAACTAAAGCTGGTAATTATCTTGTTTAAGAACACATCTCAGATAATTCCATCAAAATGCGTTCGCATCTTTTTATGTTTTGAATAATTTAAAGGAGAATTCAAACATTTACCTTAAAACTGATGAAGTTGGTCAATATTTACTTTATTATTTTTTTTCTTTTTAGCAATGACGTCAATTGTATTGATTGTCGACATCGAGCTAAGTTGAAAAGGCTCAAAATTTGCTTGCTTAATTATGTATTAGCGATCATCAAGATATCGAATACATCGCTGTTGGTTCAAAATTCTATGTTTTCAACTGTTGTGAAATACTTACGATATTTTTTTGACGCCATTGGCATAACGTTGCTGTCATTATAACAGTACATCCACCATTATTTTCGCAGTGGTGTCTATTTCTATTTTGACAGGCAACGAATGGTTGCAGACGACTCGTTACTTGGGCGGAAAAGGAATAATAAATTACATCCATTATGCATTCAAGTTGATTGCAAATATCAAGATAATTGGAACGCCATTCATTTGCTGATTTCTAACATCCGCCTGATTATGGGTAAATATAAACTTTACAATATATCCCGTAGACATTATTCTCCCTGGCGAGAGATTGACCTCTGATGCTAAGATCAACATATGATACAGTCTGCAACATCTCACCCAGAGCTTATTACTAACGGTCCACACAAAGGAAATCAATATCCCATTTCGAAATTAAATCTCGCGGTTCAAACACTTGAAATACAAAAATCTTTATTTGCTAAACATGATATTATATATAGAATTTTTAATATGCCATAGCGCTCGATTTAAACCACATACCATGATTTGTCACGCTCAGGAGAAAGAAAATAACTTCCGTCGTGCAACAGACGAGTTAATAACATGAATTATTTGAAGATGTTTTCTAAGAAACGAAATCGTTAATAAAGATCGTTACAATGACCTGCGCTTTTTATAACTCCGTGATTATATCAAAACGAAAGATTGCTTCGGATTACAGGCATGGGGTGGGAGAGGGGAATGAGTGAAATCTAGCTAATGCCAATGTTAGATTTACAATATCAGACTTGAATGTGTTCTAATTCTGAAATCATGAACCACATAGGGAGATATTTTTGATTGTGTGTAATATCCGTTGTCGGATAATCTTTTTGTTACAAAATGATCGAGCTTGACAATAACACTGCAAGTAATATGATAGGCATACATAATTTACAATACAGTAATCAATAGAGCTGGTAATAATTGGTGTTGTTGAAAAGCACCCTGGCAGAGAGTTACGTGAAGACAATACTGTATACACACAAATATCGAAATAACAGCATAAAGTTATCACCAACATATAATAATGCAGAGCTAAATATTTTACCCGAATCCCGTGCGCAAAGAGGAAAATAATTTTTACCGAGGACAGGTTACCCAGCTCGGGTTAGAGTTGGGTGCTTCGTTTAATCTTCATATATCCAGGAGCCAAACAGAGTTACTCCCCAACCCCCTATCCCCCTGTCCTCGGTAAAAAGGTATCTTCTGTCTAAAGAGAGTCGTTTAGTAACACCGTCACTGGTATCTTTGGTTATGCGTTTCTTTAGTAAAGAATTTTTCCAGAAACGAAATAATTGTTATTGATCAGTGAATATCTTAAAATTTGTATATAGCCAATGAATATAGCAGTTATAGCTAGACAATAGCCGTTTCCAACAATAACATCGTTAACACTCCATTACCCTGTCATCATATATCTTAATTAATACTTTATAAGGTCAATCGATCACTTAACTATCTTTTCCATTAATGGCGAACTCCTTTAAAACCTGGTCTACAAGATTATAGAATCTTCTTATTACTTAATTGCTTCTTTATAAATTCTGGCAGGCTGGAGTATCTCATTACCATTTTATTTTCATTTTCTAGACTGCATTCGTTTCTCTAAATTTAATATCAACGTCACTACTAACTGGTCGACCCCGAGCTCATCCATATACAAGATTTATACTAATTATACCCAGTTGGACTTTCAATGGTATCAGGGTGGAGCAACGTAATAATTATTTCGCTGTTTTAAATAAATAAATAAATCAGGAAAACGAATAGATGCGTAACTGGTGCTTTTACATTAAAACTTCGCCGAACGAAACCGGGTACCGAGCAAAACTCTCACAAGCGGGCCCTATTGTGATGATGTAATACGCCAAAAGAAAAACATTGATACAATTTTGATTTTAATATTATATTTTGAGTATTGGACACAGGTGATTAAAATCTGAGCATAAAATGAGTTGTTCTCGTCCCTGGCCTGTTCATAACACGCCAGAGAGTTTGTAACTAGTGTAAAGATTACATAAAGATCCTCAACTCTGGGTCAGTTAGCCTTCTGTCACCAAGATGTGATCGGAACATTGTGAATTTGCCATCAATCGTCAGGATGCAATCTTGAATCCTATGACTAACGGGTAGAGGCATTAATATTAAAATTTTACATTCGTGTACTTGATCTGATATGTTATTTCAATAACTGATGGGGGAAGCTTTAATACGATTATATATTTTGTTTCTGACTATTTACGTCGGTTTTTTTACACAACATGTGCCGTTTATGGTTTATACTTCCAGACTGCAATCAGAAAACTAAAACATGATGTTAACAATCTATATAGTGATTTTTTTAAGTGACGTAGTTTTACGCCAGTCTTCCAGTTCGCTATCTACTGAAACAATTTAATGTCAGCCACTATAAAATGATATGGGGTTTAATGTCCTACTTTTCTGAACTACCCGGGTAATGAAGACGCGGCACACAAATTCCAACTGCCATGTGTAATGGTGGTGTATTTCTCTTTTGGGATCTGTCCACTTGTCATTCCATATTCAGATACGATTTCGTAATGTGATGATAATCGCGATCATTTCAATATTTAGCCCACCACCCCCCTTCAACAAAATAGCCATATAGGTCGCCCATTGACGTCACAAATTAGTTATGTTTATAGTCATTTGTTAATTAGTGTCATTCAGAAAGCGCTAAGCTGTTTTCTTATTTCTTTCAAATATCTTATTTAATGGACGCCTGTCTGACAAGAATCGAAATCTGTCAATTCCTTTGCCACTTTATTTTATTGCAAGACAGAAACGAAATTATAACTGTCGTGTGTCAAGTCAATGGTTTCGTATGTCAGTCAAAGCGTTCATAATTTATTTCCTAACATTCCAGAATAAAAGACTATACAAAGATTTTCAGCCATACAGAATAAAACAAATACAACACTTTCATATTTAAAGTAGTTAAGTCTCTAACTCAATATCATCCAAAATCTTCGACAATGAAAACACGAATTATTTGTCACTTTAAATCAACATTGATGTTGTGATCTAACCGGGAAAAATGGGCTTCTGATATCCAATATTTAAGACAAAAGAAACATTTTACCATCGTGTACTATAATGTGTTTCGGCACCATTTGTAACAAGGGACTCGAAGTAGGAGGCTAGACATATTCCACAAGTCATGTCAAACGGTGACCCCAAATTCTTATCTGGAGCGCACGCGCAATAATTACTAACGGTGTAGACGGGAATAACCAGATGCTAAAGATTGTCATTTGATTGAAACATCTGGCGTATTTCACCGAACATAACTGATTAGAAATTATTGTAAAAACAGGCACGACTGAATGTAAATCAGTTTATATACATCCATACCACATTATTATATGCGTTGTGACCCATTTCTAGGTCCCAAATATTAGCGATTTAGCCCCTTTAATAGGGAAAATATTTATTGGGCGTTTTCCATATTGCAATCTTAAATGCAACAATTATAATATAATAAGTTTGGCCATAGATAATATCAATGAATTTACTGTTTCTAAATTCAATACTTACCCCATCTGGTGTTTGTGAAGACGCGTGACGTCGTCGATAGTGCTGTAATTGGGGAAGACTAAAAGATGAGAATCTATCCAATGTATGTAAATTGTTAATTTTCTATCATTAGGGTCGACGTAATCATTTTCTGGATCTGAAAGCTGAATAAAAAATCAATTTACTTCAAGGATAATGACATGACTAGAAGGACATTTTGTTTTAGATGGACATCATTATTTTGTGGAGCAACTAAATGTTCGTTACTGGTAGTTGTAAACTTGCTACCAATGATAGACGAAAAGATAAAAGTGGGATATTCCCGGTTTTAACTTTGCTCATACCTCTGCTATAACGTATCGCGAGAGAACGGGAGAGAGAGAAATGGGGTTTAACATCAACCCGACACAAACTAGGTCATTTCGGGGCTAAAATATGGTTCAACTTTATTTCAATAATTCGCTTGTGCGTGAGAGGAAACATAACGTATCGTTAAAAAATTTGATTAAAGATTTGTGAGCGATCGCTGGTCTCTATTAAAGCATTTTTACAGACTTCGTTTTGTCTGTCTACAAATAAGTCTCGGGTCTTGATTTTATGCCGAACTCTTTCTTTGCTTCAACAATTCTTTTTCACCCGATCAGGGGTCAGAGCAAAATAAGCTGTTGCATTGTTTGGGTTAATCTAATTGTGTTCTTTAAATTAGTGACCGGTGAGATTAGAGTCGCTGATCGTCGTTTGATTCATTACATACTACACAGGTTATCTCAAGTTGACATTATCACTTTGTTTTCTGAATTAAATGTTAAATAATCAATCTTACATTTTAGCGTCTATTAAGCCGTGAACAATTAGTTATTGTCCAAAGAATACGAATAACAACCAGGGGCTTTAGATTTTCGTTTCGAACTATTAAGCGGAAGTCAGTTTGTTTACTAATTTTAGTTTAGTTTTTAGTTAAACTGTCAACTGTTGAACACAAAATCAATTATATCTCAACATTGACTTTATTTCTGGACCAATTATTTTATAAGTAGACAGATCAACATCTCAAATTTAATTAAATCGACATTTTATTATTTACCCATTTAATTACGTCGGCGACTGATTCACTAACAAATAGGTCCCGGGTTGAATTCCGGTGTTGGTCGAGAAAGTTCCTCGAAATTTTCCGGCGTGGTCTCACCTTGTCAGTGGTGCATTTCATTCCGATTACGTCATTTATTGGGAGTCGCGGTGGCTCAGTGAGTAAGACACTGTCTTGCTAGCCTGGAGGTCTTGGGTCGCTCCCTCGGGATTTTCCGGCCTGGTTATCCCATGTCAGGATATTTGTCTAGTCATTCAGATCAGACAAAAAAAACGAGGTTCTGTTTACACATTGGTGTAAAGGAGCCCTTGGCAGTTGGAATTCGAAGATTAGGCCGTAGCGCCGCTGTTCTGGAAAACTTTTCCTCATAGCACATTGCATGGCGTATGACTGTCTTCAGTGCAGAAATCCCATTTAGGTCATCTGTTCTATAGGAACTACAATACCTACCTCATCAATGCTGATATTTGTTCTCATAAAGAAACCTTCATCTAAATCTTGCTGGACATAATATTTACTGAATGGTCCGGTCCCCAGTTTTACAATCTTACCCCCGCTTAAAATGGACACATCCCAGGTCACAAATCTGCTGAACTTTCTTGGCACATGAGAAATATCTGTATAATATAGCCTAAATGATAAATACTTCCCCGAAGTATCCGTTTCGAGCATCCATGCTTGTTTATCTCTGTCGTAGCAATGCGCTCTACCTTTCGATTTGTTGCACATTGGCAGAGAGACTTCACTAACGGAAACGACAGATTCCATTTCAACTTTCACCTTCAAAGACGATCTGCCAAGCGACAGACGCGACACTGAAGCTCCAACTGTGAATGGATCACCGAATCCCGAGGCATCAAGCATCTGATTTAGTTCTCCGGAATCAAAAGTCCCCTCCTCTCCCAAAATAACACGGTATCGCACGTTACACAGATGATCGAAACTTGTATGTCTTTGTAATTGAATGGCGACGCTGCCGTCTGCTTCAGTTGATGTTACGTCAGGAAACAGCGATATGCTCCAATCGAAAAGACCAAAAGTGAAATATGTTGATTCCAGTCTGTCACCGTAACCATGACGTGACTGGCCTTCTTTGTGTATTTTCATATTATATTCATAAAGGCACGTTATATTTCTCATTTCTACTTCTACTAGTATATCGCCACTATCTTGTATAAATTTTCTCTGGATGATGTCATCTATTTCCATAACAGTCTTACAGCCATGTGATTTATTGTCAAAAGTAAATTCTGTGTTTTTGACAGTGCATGTTTCGTTTTTCGTAAAATGATCTTTGTTCACAACCGTGAATGCGAAATCTAATCGGCATTTTGTGTCTTTCGACGTAGTCTGCAACCTGAGGAATGTTCCAATATGGCGTTCACTGCGAACAAAGGACACGCACCACTTTTGAAACCCGTACACGAACTCCTTTGAATAAGTATCCGGTGTGAATTCCCTGGTAATTTTTCCCGGAAGGATGAAAGTGAACACCTGAGCATTGAAGCGGTCGTTGAGCTTGACGAAGCGGCACAATTTTGCCATTTTAAATAAATTCGTTGTTAACGCACTAAGGACTTTCTGCAAAGCAATCGACTAACTTATGTCTACAGCAACATCACCATGCAATCTTCTGTTTGTTTAGTCAACTGAAAATAAACAAAACAAAAATTATAACGATTGATAAACTTTCTGAAAGATTGCGTTTTCACAATAATAAAAACAAAATGTCCACAGTGCCATATTGATTACATCGAACATTCAAAGACTTTTTCAAAGAAATCGATAGGAAAGACTAATGAATTGTTTCTGTTGTAAAAAGTAGACATTGTTTCGACCCTCTTTTATTCCGATATTTTGAGAATAATCATCTTCATTACTTTTTTTTACCAATAAAGAGCAACTCATTGTAAGCGCATGGTTATAAATCATTCAGGAATTGGTTGACAAGAGAACAGCTTCTGATTCTGACACAACCAATGAACCTGATAATCTATAAGCGACATGTATAGGCATTTTGATAGATTTTTTTTTTAGATAATATTCTGTTAGTTCATATGAGATAAAGAAAATACACACGCATGCTAATTTTCTTCTTTTTTTGTCGCCATGCACCATGATTGGCTACAGAATCGCTTTTTATTGGAGTAGCCTGTAGATTAATAAATGGTAATTTTCAATAAACCAGTTATTACAAAGAAAACAGTCAAATTGCAGAAACACCTTCTGAATAATAATCAGACTTGTTTGGAGGTTTTTTTTTAAAAAAAAAATTTTGATGCTTCAACGTTTCTATTAGTCCCGTGGGATCAGGGGTCTGGGCAGGCATTATCAACACAAATATGACCGAAAATAAAGATTCAAGTTCCCATTCTACGTAAATACCCATGTACCTATGCTACATATTATTGGGTGGTTCACCAACTTAACCTGATCTGTAGTGCTTCATCAACAGCCCGTGGTGCATGCCTACTTCTCGCTGTGATTCGTAAGTTGGTGTATCAAAAGGCGAATCCTTGAATCCTTGGCAACGTTTACCAAAAACCCTCTCCTAAAATTCAAAAATATATTTTGGTGTCGTGTGTGAGGTAGAGTTTGCTTAATCTGTCTAGCCAACAAATTATGCGTTAGGTTTATGAACACGTTCAATAGAAGATTTCAGATAAATATGCAACATAAATATTAACGAAAAGTGGTATTAGATGTTGTAGAGACTGTATTATAGTTGTGTGGATATCTTACAAGATAACACGAATGCTGTCATGTCTGTAGATAGGTTTGGACTGTGATGAGATAGTTTCCAGACAGAATACTCAAATCAAAATGATTAACTAATACAATAGTTTAGCGTGATAATTTAGCTACATGTCCAGTACCGACCACGTCAGCCGACGTTTCAAGATGTAAATATTCAATATTAATCAGTACTGACCAACTTACCACATACATTATGCATTGAGATTAACAATGGGAGTAAACAGCGAATTCTAAAATTTAGATGACAGAGAAGACATTTCAGAAAGAAACGGATGTGTCATTAAATTTCTGTATAAAAAACAAATAGTTTAAAATCATCTCACTAGTAAGTCGATTATAATATGTACTCACTGAGTACTAATTTAACAGTTTAAAATCTTTTCAAATCACCAAAATTATCTCAGAAATGATTCCGTATAAATCAATAATTCTTTTTGAAAACATATTACTAGGTTACCTGAAAAAGAAGCAAATTCCTTATAGATTCTTGAAAATAGGCATTTCGAAGGAGCTTTTGTAGCCGAATGCACTTTAGATCGCCTGGCATCGTGGCGACAAGAGTCTTGGTTTCGCTTCCAAGTAACAAAGAGCGGGGTCCCCTGCCTAACCTAGTGGGTTTCCCTGGTTCCCACCTATACTCTCATTAATGCGAATTAATGAAATAACCAATACTGATATTTCTTAATTTGTGTTGAGTAGAAGTTAAACTCCCAGATTGGCTAAAATGCCAGATTTCCTGTAAGAACACATTACATGATGTTATATACTATTCCAAAAAAAGTAGGGGATATTTGATTTTGGGGGCATAATACTAAAATATGAAAATGACTACGAAAAAAGTCACTATAGAACCTAACAGAAGAAATATTTCCAGTTACATGGAATGCAGGTGATGCTTGGGATCATCATGGGGGTCCAACCCAAGATTTGCACGACTCTGACTTTGAATGTTACAGTCATTGTGGCATTGAATTCCATGGTGGAAACATCAGTTTAATTGTTTTAGTGACCAGAAAACAAATTTTGATATGCGTCGGCTTACCCAAAATGAAAGGTTACATGCCCTTGGCATGCTACAGATCGGCACAACACAGGCGGTTGTGGCGCGGACGATGAATGTTTCTCAGTCTGTCATAAGCAGGCTATGGTCCAGATACCGTGATACACAATCTGTACAGGACAGACCACGCTCAGGTCGACCAAGGGCGACAACTCAAGCCCAGGATCGATTTATCCGTACCTTGGCCTTGAGAAATCGTGTCATCACAGCAAATCAGATCAGCGCTCGTCTTCAAACAGACACTGGTGTGAGAGTGAGTGGCCAGACGATTCGGAATCGACTGCATAGGGGTCACCTTCGCGCCCGACGTCCTCGCGTGATCCCTTGTTTGAGAGATCATCACATTCAGACAAGACGTCGTTGGTGTAGGGATCGTCAACACTGGGATAATCGACGCTGGAGCAATGTGATGTTTTCAGATGAGTCAAGGTTCACTGTTGATTTTTTGGACAGACGTAGGAGGGTGTGGTGTCGTCGAAACGAGCGCTTCCAAGACGTTAACGTCATCAGACATGATCGATTTGGGGGTGGTTCTGTTATGGTGTGGGGAGGCATCACTGTTGCTGGAAGAACGGCTTTACATGTTGTTGCAGGGCGTGTTACAGGCCAGTACTACCGGGACAACATCTTGGCAGTCCATGTTGTGCCGTTCGCACGACGTCATGGCCGCCGTTTCATCTTCCAGGATGACAACGCAAGATGTCACAGGGCCAGGATCGTTACAGGTTACCTCCAACAACAGAACATCACCACATTACCTTGGCCAGCACTGAGTCCCGACCTCTCCCCCATCGAGCATGTCTGGGACATGCTTGGACAGAGGTTACGTCAACGTCAACAACGTCCTGCCAATGTCCAAGAACTTGCTGCTGCGTTGCAACAGGAATTGGACAATTTGGACCAAAATGACCTTAGACGTCTCATTAGGAGTATGCCACGTCGGATCAATGCTTGTTTGGCAAACAGAGGAGGATTTACCCGTTACTGACTTGGTTGTGATGCTGTGGTAACTTTGCTGTTTGACCCCGGGTATCATTTTACCCTTATAATGGTCAGTCTGTGCCTTACTTAGTCTAACGATCATTTGGAATAAATCGATGAATGTGAACTTCATTTCATTTTGTCATTTGTTTCTTCGTCAGTTTCATTAGGTGACTTTAATAACACTTAAAAATCAAATATCCCCTACTTTTTTTGAATAGTATATATTTCATATTACCTTGTAATTTGTGTTCTATTGATGTGAAATTAGTTCGTCATGTGTAATAGTTACAATGGAACAAATCTTGTTGTACATTCAAATTTCGAGTCCTCTTAATCAATTATCTTTTATAATACAGCTATTATTATTCTAACAATCATTTATCATTCTACACAATGTTTCATAAGTAAATTAGTAGTCAGCGTACTTGATTGGGTTAAGAAAATCGATTAATTGGAAGATCTATTGAGATTTGTCTTTAGCTAATTAAAATAAATGATTCGTTTATTTCTTTGAAAAGAGTCAGAAACATCAACCATTATCATTCTATAAATCCATAATAAAGGCGTCATGGGCAGCTATGTAGAACAACATACAAGACAATAACCATCAAAACTTACCAATGTCGTATGTAGCCGGTGGCAAAGATAATAAAGTTGAACTCGGAATCGTTCTTTGCACAACAGTAATCGTTGGCTGTATTTGTCAAGACCAGGCGATTATTTCTATAAACTGTATTTAAGACACGTTTTCATTGATCATGCCGCCTATTTGGTGCCAATTACCAGCTAGGTTTCTCCTCTAACAACTACCACGACTTACAACAATTTCACACAATTATCATCTGTCTAATCAAATAAATAGTCCCTCAACAATTTACAAGATATTATTATCGGATAGAACTTTCCATTATGATACTGATAATGATGGATACAATTATACCCATAAACAATAGTTATGGTATGGTGTGAAATACTGTTCAGTTAGTTACATGTACGATAGAAGCCACCAAAAATATAACCATTTACACAGCTCTTTTTTTTTTACCCAATTTAATAAAATGGCGACCCCTTGATAATCATTGATTTGGAACAAAAGAATAATTATTGTCGTTTTGATCAAATTTTATAATTTATTTCTTTTCTCGAACATTATCTCTTCACTCAAACATTTAGGCCCGAGTGTGAAGATATATCGAATGTTTGGAGCCTATACATGAGAGAGCCTAGGAGAGAGACTATACATTTAAAAGAGTAAATTTCCTTCAGAAATGGCCTTAGATGCAAGGAAATCGACACCAAACTTTCAAAATTTTATGGGGGGAAAACCCCATACCAACTTTGAGGCTCCGCGGTAAGTCACGCCGGAACACCCCCGCCCCATGCTCAATTTTTTACACATGACCCTGCTGTACTGAGTGTCCAAATATCTTTTGTCGATATGCATTCAGAAATAAAATCATGCAGAATTGATAACATCCAAATATGGATATGGTACTGGAAAAGCCATACACAATGGCGAGCATTTTAAATTAAACATGGCGAATATTGTAAGGACTTTAACAGTGGACAACGTCGGATTAACTCACCAGTTACAATAAGGTTTGGAATTCTGTTTCTGGCATTTGTGGTTTTTGAAATACAAATGAATATCTAAGACATGATTGGCATCTTGAAATTGAATATGGCGGGCGTTGACCCAGTTTCTGATAGCTCCATGATATTGAAAACATGTGTAAAGTCACTTGATTTGTTTGGTTTTTATAAAGTTCTGCCCCATGCCAACGTTTAGTATACGAAACATTTAATACCATGGATTTAGCTGTTCAAGTTAGCCTCTAGAGTGTCCAC